TCTTTATTTATTTCAGTATCTATGTACTACCTGATGAAAACCTCTTTGAAATCATAGGATTTTATAGCTCCAAGGGATCTAGTCTAACTTCCTTTCTTTATAGCTGAGGAAACCGAGACCCTAGCTAAGTGACTTGCCAGACTCACCTGTTTCCTTTTGGATAGGATTGCATGATGGAAGGATGCAGTAATATCCATATCTCGGGCTCAGAAAAGCACTCTGTTGACTTTCCCATGGTGTTCCTGTGGGCCCATTGAGAAATCTAATCTGCGAGATAACACTGTCAGGTGGATTCGTAGAGTAGCTAATTGAGTACTTTTGCCCAGAGGGTGCTGTCTTGTCAATCTGTGACTGATATTTTTTTTGTTTTCTTATTTTTTTTTTAACTCTTAAGTTGAAACGTAAGAGTATTTGTAAATTCTGTATATTAGTTCAGTAAGTCCAAAATATGCAGGGCAAGACAGAATAGTTGATATATTTTAAACTGCAGCCTGGACACTCAGGGGTGGTTTTTATGTTGCTTTTCATTCTGGGAATTCTTACCCACAGTTGCTCTTAAGGTCTCCAGTTGCTTAGATGAGGCCCACTCACCTTATGGAAGATAATCCCAAAGACTGCTGATCTAAGTTCATCACATCTACAGAAAATACAACATCTAGACCAATGTTGCCTGTAACACTGGGCATCATGGACTGGAGAGGTCACCGTATGAATACCATCACACAGTCAGAGGCAGAGCCCAGACATCCTGGCTTGTGGACCAGTGTTGTCCTTCTCCGTCAGCATGCCTTCCAGCTTTTCCGGCCTTCTTCTTCCTTCCTGTACTCTGTTTTGCTGCTATGCTATGTTTCTGCTATTTTGCTGCCTCTTTCTTTTTTGGTATGAAGTTCCAGGTCCACCCGACTTGGTGTTCATTTTTAGATATGCTAGCAATCAGCTTTGACTTTCTTGTGAAGCTCCTTATGTGGAGTTCACTAAGTATATTTAGTCTTATTTTCAGCATCTCAACCCTTTAGCCAAATAAAGACCTTAAAATAGGTCACTCAGGAAGAATTAGCATTAAATTGAGAGTCAGACTGCTGTCCCAGCCTCTGTGACTCTTCTAACTTTTTCCATTCTTCCTAGTTACTTTCTCTGCTTCGGCAGTTTGCTGTAGTGGAACTGGGTGTGTGTTTAAAATCTGCTTTTGAGCCTCCATCTCCATGCTAACTCAGTTTGAAAAGTTAATGAAAGTCTAGAGTGGCAATGACTAGTCAGCTTAATTTACAAGTTCTTCCTGTTTTCAGGTCTTATTTTAAGTCACTGTGAAACAAGTTTATTTTTTTTAAGCTGTTTAAAGTGAGTTTTCATTTGAGAGCTCAACATGAACTTCTTTTCTTTTTCTTTCTTTTTGTTTTTGGGTTTTTTTTGTTTGTTTTTGGCTTTTTCTTTTCCTTTTTTGGTTCTTTTCAGACACAGGGTCTTGCTAAGTAGCCCTGGCTAGCCTCAAATGTGCAATCTTCCTATTTTATTCTCCTGAAGGTTGGGATTACAGCATACAACACTGTACTTGGGAAGAACTTGCTTTTGTTAAAGTAATTCTTTTAAATTGGCAAATAAAGTTATATATATAAAATATATATTATATATAGTATACAATATAGTGTTTTTAAATATGTAGAATGTCTGAGAGATTACATTTATATAATGTTTTAAGACAGTAGAATGTCTGAGTTAAGCTAATTAACATACACCCATCTCACATACCACATACATGCTGTGGTAAGAACATTTAAAATCTTTCTCTGGGGCTGGAGAGACAGCTCAGTGGTTAAGAGCACTGTTCCGAAGACCCAGGATTGGTTCCCAGCGCCCACATGGCAATTCAAAACTGTCTGTAACTCTAGTTCCAGGTGACCCATTCTGACCTTGAGGTCACCAGGCATGAATGTGCTGTACATACATATAAACAGGCAAAACATTCATACATATAAAATAAATAATTAAAAATAAATGAAAATAAAATCTCTGATTTTTCAGGAGTACAAGAATTCACTTTTATTAATTAACATTACAAATTTTGTACATGCATTTAATTTTCTTCTGTGAAATAGATAAGGCTATTATTGGATTTTGTGGCTAAGTGTTCTGAGATCTTATAAAGTTTATTGCTTCCACAATAAGTTTTGAGCTAGAAATTAGAAGATTGTGGGGTGTTAGATTTGAAATTCAGTTGACCAGACCCCCATCTTGTGCTGGTGTTGCTGCTTTGAGATGGGGCCTTTGCCTCAAGGGCTGCAGCCACTCTCGTGCTCAGCCTGAGTAGCTGGCGCAGAGCCCAGGCAGGTTCCGCTTTGGGCAGCACCTGTGGTATTGTCCCATGCCTTTCTCCTGTGCCCTCTTGTGTCTGTGAACAACTTTTCCAGTCTCCTAGTTAGACAAGGGCGTTGGTGAGCAGTCGGCCGACCTTTTGCCCCTTCATCACTCCTGGACTTCAGAGGAGGCTGTGGAGTTGCAAGTGTGGACTGATGACATAGTTGAAAACCACAGATGACAGTGTCGTTAAATTCACTTTTCTTGTTTCATGAGTAATAACTAGACTATTGACCTTTCTTCAGAACTGGACTTGAGTTGCCAATGTGAAATTTGATATCCACTGAATTACAGGAAGTAAGATGTATCCCTAATAAAAATGCTCTCCACCTCATGCCGATACATCTGCTGACCAATAAAGATGCAAGATCAGAGTGCTTCTAACACTGTTTCTAGTAGTCTAGTAAGGCAAATTAAAATAGATGATACAGAAAATCAAAACAGCAAAAGATGCCATGGTATTTGGAAAAACGCAGACTTCTAAACTCTTTAAAGTCATAGTTATGGTTACTGATGATTTCAAAACCTTTGGTGATGGTATGTTATGTCCTTCATGAAAATGTGCTTTTGTGCTCAGGATGTAGCTTCAGAGAGCACTTGGCTAAGCTAAGTACAGTGAAGACCTGGGTTTGATCCCCAGAACTGACACCCCAAGGACCAGAAGGGTGTTCTGTGGGCATCCTCAATCTTTGAACAGCACTAGTAGTCTGGGCACTAACCCACCCATCCCTGCACACAGACAGACAGACAAGAAGAAGAGTTCTTCACCACACACGCTGCTGCTGTCTCCTCGCTGTGCTGTGCACTCACTCTCCATTGCACCACACACGCTGCTGCTGTCTCCTCGCTGTGCTGTGCACTCACTCTCCATTGTACCGTTGCTATAGAAGATGGTGCTAAAGCTCTCTTCAGTGTTTGAAGTTTACAAAGGACCGAGTCATAAGCTGTACATCTCTGGGAGATTTGCGGAAATCTGACTCTTTAAAAAAGGAACTGTCCTGGGAGTTGGAAACTCTGCACTGTGTGTAGACACTTTTAGCAATAAAGCACAGGCTGAGAATGCAAAATAATAATAATAATAATAATAATAATAATAATAATAATAATAATACCCTTAAACTATATTTACTTTACTTGATTTGATCTTTAAAGCATAGAGAAGCCCATGTTAATACAGAAATGTTTAAATCTTTGATTATTTGTCATGGAAGCATATTTTTAAAGGTATATGCCCATCTTAGAGTAATGCTATTACATTTAAGGGTCTGTTCACAAGTTAATCAGTGAAAACAGAAGGCCAGTTTAGAAGATTCCCACCATGCAGTAGGAAATATATAGGCTAGGGTTTGCAGTGCTTGTGTATATGGGGACCTAAAGGACATAGAAATGGATCCATTTAAATTCTTAGTGTATTAATTTAAATCCTGATCCTCTTCCACTGACTAGCTTTGTGACACCTAATTAATAGCTTAATCTCGAACAGTCTGTAAAATGCGGCTGTGTGCTACATTGTGTGTTTCCATTAGACAGGGAGAGTGAGGGGTAGAAGTGCAGTGTGGAGCTCTATGACTGGCACCAAGTACACACTTAATAAGTTAATAAACAATAACAATAGTAATACTTACAGCTCTACTTCCGCTAGTAACTTTTTATAGTAATGATTTCTTGTCTGTTTCCCTTTAAAAGTGTTGTTATTGAGAAGGGGAACTTTGAAACTAAAGCACTTACTTTGTTGTTTGGTCCCTGGTGGGTGTTCTCATGCCTGAGATGCTCTTCTGAGTGGCTGTCTTCCGTTTGTTACATAGCAACCTCAGGCGATTGCTTGGGGATGATGTGTAAAAGTCATCTTGTGCAGCATAGACTGTATATTGAAGGATAGTAGTATGCACTTATCTCAGTTTATTCTTGGGCTCTACCTTGCAAGTTTTTATGTATGGGTTGTAGGAATTAATCAGTTGTATATAAATCATAAGCACTCAGAGCTGTCAAACCACAGTGCTTTTAACAATGTCACTTTTTGTTGGGAAAGATGATCTTAAAAAAGTATTGTTGAGTCATGAGTAGTGCTGCATGCCTGTAATCCCAACACAAGAGACGTTGAGTCAGAAAGATTATGAATTCTAGGTCAATCTGGGCTACATAAAGAACTCAAGGCTAATGCAGGATTGCTTGGCTCGGCCTGGTAGGAGGGGACTGGACCTGCCAGGACTGAGTCTACCAGGTTGATCTCAGTCTGTGGGGAAGGCTTTGCCCTGGAGGAGATGGGAATGGGGGGGGCTGGGGGGAAGGTGAGGGGGATGAGAGGGGGGAGAACAAGGAAATCCGTGGCTGATATGTAGAACTGAATTGTATTGCAAAAAAAAAAAAAAAAAAAAAAAAAGAACTCAAGGCTATCTTAGGCTAGAACTAGATGATAGAACTGTATCTAAAAAAACAAAAATTAATAATTTAAACAACTAAATAAAAATCCCATTTTCAGTCAGTAAAAGTATTCTTATTTCTAAAGCTTTGGTTATAATGAACTTTTCAGACACATGTCTTTTGCTAATCATACTGTGTCCTTACTAAATTTCATGTATATTTGTTAATTTTCTTTTTTGGAAGACTTTAGTTTCCCACTCTCAACTCTATTGTGTGTTCTTTCCCAGAGCATGAAGGGGAGAAGTAAAAGCAGCCATGACCTGCTCAAGGACGATCCGCACCTCAGCTCTGTCCCCGCTGTGGAAAGGTCAGTGCAGTTACCAGTCAGTGCTGGAACCTGACTTCCTGCTTTTAGACTTCATCTCATTCTCCTGCTGTCTTTGTTAGCAAGCAGAGCCCCCACAGTACATTTCTTAAGTCTAGCCAAAGCAACAGTACATTTTGATAAGTGATTAATCTTAGGCTAGTCTGAATACTAGAAGCTTGTAATAATTTCATGTTGCATTGCTAACTGTCTTAGGGGCATTTTTGTTTGGGGATAATGAGTAAGCACGAGAGTGCAAGGTTACTGGAAGAAGTGACCACATTCGGGGCCAGTTTACTGTGTGTACGTTCTTACAACTGTCGGAGTTGACAGAGACCTGCCTTAATTGTCTTTGTTGCTTCTGTTTAAGAGGTGGGATGTTAATTAGTGTTAAATGTATTAATTACATGTGATATATGGGCCATTGTCTCAGACTAGGATAAAATACTGTTGTAATGAGGTTAGCTCATCTTCAAAAATTCTGTTTCAAAATAATGTTTTCTTGGTATCCTTTAATTCGTAGGATTTGGTCTCTTTATAGCCAGAACCTTTTAAGCTATAGGAAAATCATTTTCTGTAAATGGGACAGCGTGATGGTGGATGTTTATATTTGAAAAAAAAAAAAATCCAGAGAATTCTCTTATCTGCTAATGGAGCATGTCTCTTCCTCTGTTTGTAAAAGGTGACTCCTTTGGAGCATGTTCCCATCTGTGGTACAGTGCCGTTCTGAGAGTGCTATGGTGGAAAAACAAAACAGGACGTTAATTCTAGCAAACTAGTTTTAAGTTCCAGTCTACACTTTATATAAATGAATACTTCAATTAGTTTCACTTTGAAGCTAAAATGTATTTGTTTTACTTATTTTTGTAGTGAAAAAGATGATGCAACAGGAGATTTAGAAGATGTGAGTATTCATTTTAGTACAAATATAGCTTGAACAATTTATAGATAGGTCAAAGTTTTACAAACACATTACGTCTTCTTTAAAAACATATAAATATATGCAATTTTTAAAATGAAAATAATTTCTTTTGCTATTAGAATATTTACTTCCAAATAGATTTGCATATTTCCCCACAGAATTGCAGTCTTATATGTGAATTTCTGTCTTGCCTTTTCTGCCTGTCACATAACATTGTATGAATACTCTACGTTCAAATGTTATAATTTTATTATGTTAAAAGTTTAAATGTGATGAGTGAGCATCCTTTATGCTATTTGGGAAGTGCATAGAGGAGTTCTTTATAATAGTATATTCCTTTTTATACATTTATATGAGAAGGTTCTCTTTTAAGATTGTATCTTTATTACTAGCTAACAATGATAAAAAGCAGAAGGGAAGACCTGTGAGATGGCTCAGTAGGTAAAGGTACTTGCTGTGGAGTCTGAGGACAGGAGCTCAAGCTGTGGCAAGTGTGCATCTACACACATACACACACACACACACACACACACACACACACACACACAGAAAAAACTAAAATAAACAAAAGGAAAATTTTCTTGTATTATGTAAATGATACACTTTTTCAAATTATATAATACCATGTTAGGATAAAACTTATTAAAACGTATATTGCATAATTCAAAAGAAAATACATAATTTAGCATGTAAAGAGATTTATGTATTCCATAGTCTGAAAGGGGGTTCTCTGATTAGCTGTAGCAGAGAGAATGACTTTGTGAGGTAAACGTTCCTGGGAGAGAAGAAACTTGGATCTTATAGGAGACTAGACACTAACTCGGTCATAGAAGAGGAGGTGGGAAAGGTGGAGGGTACAGCATCTCTAAAACTAAGCAGAGATTATACCTTGTTCAGGAAATGCTAGCTGAGCTTTCAGGTTTGAAGAAACTTGCTGTGTGGAGAGATGAGAAGCCGGAATAGAAAAGGAGCCACCAGTGCCAGTGTCCTGAGTAAAAGAGTTTGGTATATTCCAGGAGCTGACAGCAGCAGGCCACAATGACCAGTGTAGTGACGAGGAGCGTGGGGTGGGAAATGAGGGGCTGGCATGCTTGCACAGTGTCATAACCATGCTAAGGAGTTTGGGTTTCATCTGCAAGGTCATGAATAACAGTTGAAGGGTCTTGGTTCAAACGAAGGGTGCTGCGGTCAACTTTGCCTTTGAGAAATCATCACTGGCAGTCTTACAGAGGCCACCTGAGCAGAAGCAGGCCAGGGTCCAGGGAGCCGTGGAAAAGATGCTGAAGGAGGAATGCTTGAGGAGGGGGTGAGGAAGGACTCTGAGATCACCACAAGTCTCTGGCTTGGCCTTGTTAGCAAGGTACCAAAGACAGAACAGGCTTGAGGCTGGGTGGTAGATGAAAATTAATGAACAATTTGTATATTTTTGAGATGAGGTATCTTAAAGATATCTGATTACAATATTATGGGCTAGAAAATATGAGTTTGCTCTTAAGTTTATGGGTGGGGTGAGGACACTTAAGGACAGTATTTGGTCTCTAGCCTGTTTTAGGACCCAAAGCCTTTTCATCTGTGGGTCCTTTCCCCAGAAAGTGTCCTATACTCACAAACAGAATCTTATGACTTGGCAAGAGATTTGTTTTATTTCTGCTGAGGCCCAGACATGACAGGTCTGTGTCAGTGTTTAAGAATAACTTAACCACTTTGCTGAATACATGCAGTTTTTATCCACAGAGATTTGGGGTTTAGTCAGTCTGCAACAAGACTTGGGACTATATGTAATCAAGCAATAATTTGATTGATTCTGTACTAATACCTTCCACATATAAAAATCAATATAAGTGTATACATATGTGGGTATTTTTTTTTTCTTTTTTGGTTTTTTGAGACAGGGTTTCCCTGTGTAGTTTTGGTGCCTGTCCTGGATCTCTCTCTGTAGACCAGGCTGGCCTCTAACTCACAGAGATCCACCTGGCTCTGTCTCCCGAGTGCTGGGATTAAAGGCATGCGCCACCGCTGCTTGGCTTGTTTTATTTTTTGAGACAGGGTCTCACTATATCGTCCTGGCTGGCCTGGAACTTGGTCTGTAGGTCAAGCTGGCTTTCAACTCTTAGAAAAGGGATTACCTCTGACTCTGCTTCCCCAGTGCTAGGATTAAGGGCATGTGCCATTACACCTGGGTGGATTTTATCTTTAATAACGACATGGGGAGTCAGAGAACCAGACTTTGAAAAACACTGCTGTGGGGTTCATAATCCTCAAGTCAGGAATCCTGTCTCACTGTGGCTTGGCAGGCCAAAGAGTCACAAGAGATTAAAAAAACCCTTTGTGTAGTTTCTTCTTTCTCTCCCTTCTCTCTCCTCTTTAGTGATTCTGGGAGCTGTTCTAAAAGATGACTAAACTAAGAGGCAAATAGACCAGACTTAGCTGTCATGGAGTATTCTCCTGAATTGTCTGAGAAACAAAAAAACTTGTAAATAATATGTGCTGTAGAAATCAGGAGGAAAAAAGAGTATGAGGTGGGAAGGTTTTGTTTTGGTTTGTTTTCTCTCTGTTAATAGTATGGCCAAGAGAGGAAAAAGGAGACATTCAGTTATCTAGAATAAGAGCGTTTCAGGTTAAAGAGAATGACTCTAAGGAGATTATGTCAGGGAGAAGGTAGACAGCTTCGGGTGAGCTGGGGACTCATTGTAAAGCTTTCAGAGGAGCAGTGACTGCTGTGTCTTAGTTAGGAGCCTAAGGGGGTTTGGTTTGGTTTGGTTTGGCTATGGTGCGGGCAGTCTGATGAGTTTTGCCCCAAGGTGCTTAAGTCTCAGCATCTGCAGTGCCCCCTTCTCTTTGAATGAATTCCTGGTTGATGTTATGCTGGACAACTGCCTCCAGAACCACATATCCTACTGGGATAAGGATAAGACTGTATAGACACAAGACCCTGAGCGGGACAGAGGAAGTGCTATACAGAAGAGCTGCTGTAAAGTGAGCCCATTATCCATCTTGGGATCCCAGTGTGTTTTTAGCCTAGAGCAGAATGCAGGGGTTATCCCAATGGGAGAACAGTCTTCAAGCCCTTACTAGTTCAAATCTAAACAAAGCTGGCCTGGAACCCAGCAAGCATCTAGGTTGAGTCTCTGGAAGTGCAAGGGGAAACCGAATGCCTGGAAAATGCTCACTTGTAGTTTTTACAGGATGGAGAAGATGAAAGTGCAGAGCAGGATGAATCCATTGATGGCGATGAAAAGAACCTGATGAGAGAAAGAATTGCAAAAAGGTTAAAGAAAGACACAAGTGCAAATGTGAAGTCAGCTGGAGAGGGAGAAGGAGAAAAAAAGCCAGCCAGCCGCAGGTGAGTCGACCACTATGCTTTGGGCATCCATACTTCTGTCTTTATACTTCTCTTCACCTGGGACTGAGTACTCCACTCACTAATTTTTAAACTCAAAATAGCATAATATTTGTTCATTTTTAGGTTGTGGAAAATCAGCCCCTTTTGGGGCCTAAAAAATAGAGAGACCAGAATTCAAGTAACTTTAATGTACAGTAAATAGTATATTAGCTGTTTGTACAAAATTGTGTTTTCTCAATAGTAATGAGAACTTTGAGTGATTTGTATGAGAAAGACATTCTCAAAAACTTTAGCTGAGTAAAAATTGTCCAAACTGGTGAATAAAGTGGCCTGAAACCATCCTTAGACAGCTTTTCAAGTCTGATTGGCTAAAAAACACTTGCCTCTCTGATCATTGGCATTATAAAATAAATTGCAGTAAATGCTGGAAGTACTGTCTGGTGTTAAAAGTTTGTTGGATTTTGTGACTTAATGCTTTCCTTTTTTGAAATTCAGCTCAATTAAAACCCCCTCCCTTCCTATGTGATTCTTTATTGCAACTCTAAAATATATACATCTTAAATATCACTGCTTTACAAAGTCATGGGATGTCTTTTCTTCAGTTGATCTATGCAATACAATAGAAGTACATAAAAATAACTTGTGTATGTGTTTCCCAGCCTCATGTGGGAAGCTTTAAGATCAAGGCATTTCCTTTGCAGAGGTCCCTCAATATTTGCTTTGTTTAACCAAAAATAAAAGTGATCCCCAGAAGTGTCTACTGATGACATAATTTTTGTGGTCAGAAATAAAATTTAGAGCCCGGGATGGTGGCACACACCTTTAATCCCAGCGTTCTGGAGGCAGAGGCAGGCAGATATCTGAGTTCAAGGCTAGCCTGGTCTACAGAGCAAGTTCCAGGACAGTCAGGGCTATACGAAGAAACCCTATCTAGAAAAACAAAAACAAAGAAAAAAGAAAATTGATGAAAGTTCTGACTTAAAAAAAATTCCTATTGGTCATGATTTTAGAAGCTCTGAAGTCAAAGATAGGACTGCTAATAAATTTGATTTTTTTTTTCATATGGTGGAGACCTATGATGTCTCTTTTTCTTTTTCTTTTTTTTTTCGAGACAGGGTTTCTCTGTGTAGCTTTGCGCCTTTCCTGGAACTCACTTGGTAGCCCAGGCTGGCCTTGAACTCACAGAGATCCACCTGGCTCTGCCTCCCAGTGCTGGGATTAAAGGCGTGAGCCACCACCGCCCAGCCGGATGTCTCTTTTTCAAACAATGCTGATTTCATCATAGAGTCTAAATTACCTCCCCAGAGCTTAGTCACCGCATAGCATCATGTTGGAGGGCCATTGACATTTGGTAAGGAGAGAAGAGACTGAAAGATGAGTTAGGAGGCTTCTGTGAGTGTCTGTGCCTGAGAGCTGGTAACTGCCTGAAATAGTTACTTTAAAGCAGTGGTTCTCAACCTTTGGGGCAACCCCTTGGGGTCCAATGACCCTTTCAGAGGGTTTGCTTATGACCACTGGAAAACACAGATTATTTACATTACAATTCATAACAGTAGCAAAATTACAGTTACGAAGTAGCAACAAAATAATTTTATGATTAGGGGTCACCACGACATGAGGAACTGTATTGAAGGGTCACAGCATTAGGACAGTTGAGAACCACTGCTAAAGGGTGTAAAGAGTGATGTGATATTTGAATCAGAGGTACTGTTGATCTTGTCATTTTGTCTTGTTCTTATGATGATTTCTTACATAGTCACAACCTAGAAAATATCTAGTTATCTTATCAGTTTCCTGTTTTTATAAATGAGTATAATTTGCATATTTTAAATCATAGAATATTAAGTTTATGAGTATTTTGTACGTTCACTGTATTAGGAGAAGAACCTTTGTTAAAGTACTTGCCAGTCTACCAAGGAAGTCAATTTAGGAAAATTAATTCTCTAAAAGTGGTCTTAAAATTTTAAGTAGAAGGAGAAAACTGATGCTGGCCAGTTGTCCTCTGACTTCCACATTTGTGGAGGTCAGTTTAAATAAATATACTTACTTTTTAAAGCTTTGGGGAAATATAAGCATTATGAATACTAATTGATTTTATCTTTTAAGTATAGCAATTGGTATATATTCCTAGAAAACATGAAGCAAATAACTATTTCTCTGTTCACTCAAATGTTTTCAATCCACATCCTTTAGCCATGCCTCAAAGCTAACCAGTATTCTTGTTATAGGGTCATAGAAACCTTAAACTCCCATTTACTCTCATGTGCACCCAAGGCTGGATAACAGTTTAAGATGCACATGCCAACCCTGGTTGACAGTTAAGGTAGTACCTTTTTATCTTTTGGAGATGGAAATCTTAGCTGAAAGCTTAACTGTAAGGAATCCTTTTTTGCCTGTAGGTGGCACTCAGTGGCTACAAGTTCATCATGTAAAAACCAAACTGACTATTCTGCCCTGCTTATTTATTTCTAGCCTTTGTGTTCTGCTTCAAAATAAATAGCTAGATACTAAAATCAGACGGAACAAGTAGACTAGTCAAATATCATTTGTTGTGATGATTGCAGTCATTATGTAACCACTGTCTTTTATTGTATAATTTCTTAATCTTTAATGTGTAAAAATGCAATCATAGTTCCAAGTGGTTAGACACAAATATTAAAGTCAAAGATGAAGACCTTGTGAATTAGTTAGGCTTCAAATTATGAGATATGTTATTATAAAGTTATAAGCGATATATTAATAACTCCTAAGGCCTGGATGAACACTTAAATTTCATGTAACTAACTTTAATCCCTCCTATCTTCCTCTGTTGAATTTGCAATATGTGACTATGATGTCTCATGGAATTTTGAATTATTTCCCCTCTATGATTTCTAGACTTCTCAAAAAAAAAAAAAAAAAAGTTTAAGTCCCAGACTTGAGTGTTGTCACACACATGTTCTGCTTTTGATTCAAAGTCACATTTAAAAGTGTAAATTTTCCATGGTACATAAATTTTGTTTCTTCCTTTTGCAAATTAAAAAAGGTAGCTTGATAATTAAATTTCTAAACAATAAAGATAACACACTTTAAAAATGATGGTACAAATTTTAAAGGATAGTAAAATTTAAAAGATCAAAGCACGTGAGCCTTCCAGCCAGTTAACTTAAAGCCTTAGAACCATCACCTACCGTCTCCTCAGACTTTTACAGGCAATGAATGGAACTGAACAGTCGGAGGATACAGTTTGCCTTTGCTTTCTCTTGTCTTGTGGTGTGGACTGAAGCAAGGAGTGAAAAAGACATAAAGAAATAGAAATGCATGGCTTCAATTCTGGATAATTGGTCTACACATAATACTTGCAATAATTTATTTAGTCTGGAGTAATAGTGATCTAAATATATTTTCAGGAAATGTTTTGGCTGAACACTGTGTACTAGGCTCCGGAAACCTGAAAATACAAGAGAAATGGTTTCTGTTTGCAGATGTTCATTGTGTAATTGGTGGTGTGTGGATGCATCTCCCAACGTTCAGGTGCAACAGCGCTGAGAGATGGAGGACTGAAGGAGTGATTATTAGGGCACAAGGGCAATCACACTAATTAATGTGATTACTCTAACAGTGGGTTAGTTATCTGGGCAATGGACTACTGATAAAAAGAGTTGACACATACAGAGAAGGCCCTCTCCAGCTGCACCTGGCTTAAACTTGACCTTCCTAGACTTAAGAACGAATTATTTTGTTCTTAACAAACACAAATCATGAAAAATTAAGAATTGTAGAAAGTAAATATGGCAGGTTCTCTACTAGACATGCGTGCCAAGTGTCGTGGACAATGAGAAAGTGGTAGATATCTCAGAAAAACATCAAAGGCCAACTTGGGAAAAGCAAGAGAGGTGCAGAGGTGCTGGTCCATGCCTGCAGATCTTCCTGGGCTGCAGAGCATGTCAGATACCCCAGGGTTCCTATGTGTCACCCCGATTCTAGTAAGAGCAAGCATCTTTTGGAGCCCCTGTTTAAATGCTAGCACTTGTGCGTCAAGCTCAGTTCTTTAGATTAATGCTGCTGGGCTCCCCAAGCAGACTGGGTGGTTTGTTTTACTGTCTTTACCTGTTATGGTTAAAATTGTGGAATAGTATCGGTTCTAATATAAACCATATTATACTTTAGTATTTCTGGCAAGTTTCCTTTATCATTCTGTTTGGAGCTTTATTGCAGGAATTTGGGATATTCTCAACAAAACTGTTTCTTGAACTGTTCGAAATAATATACCACTTTAAAAATACCAAGTCAGTTCACTGAGAACTAGTTAATCCATATGCAAGGGGTCACCTTCAAACTAACCCCCTCACTCCCCATAGACTTGAACTTAAGTGCTCCAGAAATATGACAGCTCTGCTGTTTTTAAAATTAGATTCCGTATGGCGGACAGGAAGCTGTGAAATGCACACTGAGGGAAGAGCGTCCTGTCAAAACAGGCAAGAGGCATTTGCATGTCTTTAGAATATATTTATTTATATTACCCTTGAGAGTTGCAATCTATTGATCTTGCAACATCTGTTGTTTATGGGGAATAGGGTTGTACATCTGAAATGTATTACTGAAATTTTACAGGAAAACATTCTTTAAGTCATTCAGCATTTGATAAAGTATTTTCTACCCTGGAAAATGGATTTCCATTGAAGAACTTTGAACCACTGGTTGCTTTCTTGTTGTCCCCAGCTGCTCACTGTGAATTCACCTGTTCACTAAACAGGCAAGTACAGTTGCTGTAAGAAAGAAGAGAAGGGTCATCAGTAATTCAGATGTCTCTGTTTACACAGAGTACGTAACATTGTACAAGGACCTGAGGGAAATTATGGCTAGTGATTCTGTCTAGGTCAGTCTTCTCTGTTCCCCGTTACTCTGCCCCAACTCTTGAGAGTTTTGCCACCCTTCAGGTAACTCCTGGATTTTCCATGTTCATTGAGTATATTTAGGTTTCTCAAGCCAGGGAGTTGTTCTGGGTTTCGACAATTACT